TTAGCTTTTGTGGCACTCTCTTGTCACAGAGAATGCCAGAAGCTTGGCGCCACTTCATCCATCCGGCTTTGATTCGATGGTTCACATCTTCATCAATACCCCCATCCTCCTGCAACATTGACCCCAAATACCGAAAGGTGTCCTTCGCAGAGTTGCTGTTCAGAAAAGATTTTTCCTAACTGTGTTCTAAACCAAACATTGCACTGTACTTGTATACCGTAACATTGCAAAGCTAACAAAGTTGAGTTTTTCCCACTCCTTTTCCATTACCAGCTTATTCTGATTCAACTACCATTTTTTGTTCACCCGCAAAAAAAAAACACTACCATTTTTGTTACGATTTCTTATGAGTTATGAAAACAAAGCTTGACTTTTGTTACCTTGAAACTGTTTTTTTTCCTTAGTTTCTCGCCCGGGGCGTCAGCCAGTCCTGGCTCTACAGATGGGCGCCGCCGCAGGAGCTCTGCGAAAGACGGTGGTGGACGGTTCCGGGGATGAGGAGGAAGAGGAGCAGCAGTGCCGCATCTGCCGCCACCCCGCCGAGCCGGAGCGCCCCCTGTGCCACCCCTGTGCCTGCCGTGGCAGCATCCGCTTTGTCCATGACGACTGCCAGCTCCAGCGGCTCTCCACCACCCGCCAGCGCCGCTGCGAGGTACCTATCACCCTCTCGTCCTCCCCTGCCTAGGGTTTCCACCCTCTCCACTACCTGTCAACGCCTGCGCCCGCGAGTTCAGCTGCCCGCTGCTATGCTCTAGCTAGGTGAGACCTCCAGCAACAGCAACATACAAGTAGGCTTGCCACTGAATAATTTTGTTGGCAAACTTTTTTTAAGCTGAACAGCAAACACATGTAAGAAAAGGCCAATATACAATACTGCTTAGTTTGCACTGTATCGATTTAAAAAGTGATCAGCCTAGAACAAAAAAATTACAGGTACCTGCCTCATATGCGAGTTCCTGAACAAACAAAAGAGAAAACTGCAAATGCCTGAAGAATATAGCACCATGACTTTGCATACTAGCTGCTACACACATCCAGATTTTACTATGAATTATTACTATAAGCGGGCTCGCAGAAGTCCATGTCCGCCTGCATCCTGAGGCTGAAGCACTGTGAAGAAATTGCCCCTTTAAATCCTCTTTTCTTTTCTTTCTTGACCCGGCAGATCCTCTTACCTTTATGTAAATGGGGCCAACTAACAAGTGCTGAACTTTGACTGATCAGGTGTGCGGACAGGAGATCTCCATCCGCCCCATCCACGGCGCGGATGCCTCAGCCCTGGCAAGGCTTGCCAGTCTCATCACTGTTGTGCCTCATCCTGACAGTCAAGGTTGCCTGGGAGCTCACCAGCCTGCACCTATGGTGCCTCGCCCTCGCCAGGAGCTGCGCCGAGGCCTTCCGTCTGCTCTCCGTCTGCCCCTTTGAACCCCCCGTCCTTGCTCAACTGGCGCTCCGGGCTGAACGCGTGTTTCACGCAAAGTACGGGGGACGTCGGAGCCGCTGCCAGGTCGCCGTGCTGCGCCTCCTTCAGTTTTCCGTGGCGGTATGCTTACTCTCCTTGCTCCTCAACCAGTCGTATATCTGCTGATACTCTATTAATATTGTGGTTTTGATACTACAATGACGTGGTCCTACATTCTTCCCATACTAGTAAAGCACCAATTAACGTGCCTGTGTTCTCTACTACTCCCTCAGTCACTGTTATAAGATGTTTTAACTTTTTTCTGAATCGTTTTACTGTGTTTGTTCACTCATTTCAGTCTGTATCTAGGGGGTGTTTGGATTGAGGCCTATCAGGCAGCTATTAACTCAGGCAGAGATCTGAGCCTCAGGCTTCAAAATCGGACGCCTGAGAATCATGCCTGACTCAGGCTGCTTTTTGTGGAAGTGATCCAAACAGCCCGCTAGTCTATATTGAAATGTCCAAAATCTTATAATAGTGAACTGAGGGAGTAGCATTTAGCACATCTTATTGCCATGGTTTCCCACATTGGTTTAAGGTTACATGTTATGGCTAGAGATTGCCAAAGGTCAATGGTGTCCATATTGAAGAAACCTGTATGAGTTGTTGTATAAGTAAGATGATACTCATTTCCTTGCTCTGTGTTCTGCCCTGCAATTGTGCCTACTGCCAATTAATCGGTACTGATAAATACATTGATAAGAGGAGCATTCCCAAATTTAGGTGCAGTATAATCTTCTGGTTATTTTGACAGGGAAGCCGTAGGGGTGCCCCCGACAGTAAATGTTAGACAAAATTGTATATACAGTAGAAAAAGATAGAAGGTGGGCTGGGGTAATGTGCAGCATGGTAGGGACCTAAACAAGGGAGTTTAGCCTAGAGATAAAAGGGCCAGCACGCTCAGCAGAGTCTGAAAGTCTGTCTGCACAACTGATAGTGTCTTAACTTGTTCTTTTTGGTGCTTTCCCATTGTGCTAATGCAGTGTTTTTTAGGCTAATCCTAACCGGGCTTTTACAAGGTTTTGGCTTAGTTCCATGCTTTTGGAATGGATGCTTTACATTTCTTTTTCTGCTTGTCATTTTACATGTCTCTACAAAATTCTAACATATGCCTATCTAATCAGGTGACAATGGTTGACATGGTTCTGGCCTGTACATCTGCATTTATCCCTTTCACACTTGGAAGGATAATCCTATTCTGCACAGGTGAATTCGACTCTTTTGCTGCAACACCCTCTGTCCTCCTAGTCGGATATGGGTTTATCTTCTCGCTGGCGCTGGGTGCCACTTTCGCTTGGCTTCTTCATACTACTGGGTAAACCCTGTAGTTTTGTTTAATTTTCTAATATAGTCTAATTTTCACTTTAATTCCAAGATGTGTGTCTTCTTCCAAATTATAGTTGACATAATAGAAACCTTTTTTCTTTTTAATATATTTGCCAGGGGCGTCTTCCCAGACTCGCCAGGGGCTTCCGCGCGCTCTGCCATCTACCGGAGCTGGCCTGGGACTTCTGCGTCTATGACCTTGATAAGTATGCTGTGGATGAGCCTATTGTCATTGGGCAGAGGTTGGAAGACCTTGCCGACGGTAGGTGAAGGCGGGGAACTCTGTTTCCAGTAGTTGGTAGGACCAGGGATCTGGTGATATATACAGTATATATATAGCATGGATATATAGGCCACGTTATTGAGATGATGCTAGGCATATACATTTCTGGTGAAACTTGTAGATGTGGATGCAGTTTCCCATGTGGAAGTTACCGTAGGTTATATCGGTCGGTCGGTTCGACAGTGTCGTTCCTTCTTGGTTGAACTGAACTGATGTTCGTAAATTTCTGCCCCTTTTTTCTGTGGACCACTGGCAGGATAGGCTGAGGAGAAACGAGATGATGCTGGTTGCCTTTCTTAATTTTTGCAATTCCTTTCAGTTTCACTGGATGACTTTAGGTGCATGCCAGATATACTTGTTTGTTTTGGCAGAGTAGCCACTAAATGCTTCAGGCAATCAGCTTAGAATTTCTCGCGAGTTTGGGGAAGTTTTATCTTGGAGCCTGTTTTGCCAAGATGTCGGCAATCAGCTCAGAATTTCTCGCGAGTTTGGGGAAGTTTATCTTGAGCCTCCAAGATGTCACAAATTCAGCATGGAAATTTGTTTTTTATATGCGGCTCTGTTATCACTCAGATATGTTGGGAATGTGAGCAAAGTGTACCCTACACAATTTTTGGCTGACCAAAAAATCAGGGTTTGTTTGGATGATTGCCAACTTTTTAGCATGCTGGGTACAACATGGCGTCGTTGCAAACTAAAGACCCAAACGAGGGAATTGTGCGTCGTAGGAGTCGTTCGGGTGTAAAACTAAGTGCCTGTTCGGTTCCTCGACTGCGCTCCTGGAGCAGAGCAGGCTGCAGCTCATTTTCTCGGAGCAGCTCAAACCGAGCTCCACAGCTCCCCAGAGTGGAGCGGAGTGGAGAGATTCCGTAACAGAGCCCTGTTCGGTTCCTCGACTGCCCTCCTGGAGCAGAGCAGGCTGCAGCTCATTTTCTCGGAGCGGCTCAAACCGAGCTCCACAGCTCCCCAGAGTGGAGCAGAGTGGAGAAATTCCGAACAGAGCCTAAATATGTAACTTTTGCCAAATACATTTTCCCTTTAGAAAAATGTTCATGAAGATTGCCGTGGAACATAAAAATCATCAGAGAGAGAATATTCTGCCGGCCCTGTATACTCTGTAGCTCCATTGTCAATCTGCTACGCATTGGCCAACTCAAATACAGTTCAGACTGAAGTGTCAAAAGCATCCAAATTTCACTCTCAGGAAGATCAGCTAACAAACGATTGCAATCCGGCAGCTTCCAAACTATACTAAGTATATCAATAATATTGGTATATCAACAAGTCAATTTGCCTGAAAGCCTGTACTTGTGCTAGAAATGTATCTGGTAATCAGGCAATAATGACTTACTTCAGGAGAAAAAACATAGTTCAGAGAACAAACACACTAATAAAGGCAGATAGCTCAGTAACACACGATCAATATCACGGTGCTAATCTGGAACACTGGATCTTACTGTTGATTCCAAGTTCACAAACCATGTAGGTCTCTAGGTGCATATTTGCTACTCAGTACATGGCAATGCACGAACAATCACACAGCGGTTCTATGCAAATTCCCAGATCGCCATCAAGTTTCTTCATCGACATACACTAACAGATCTTGCTGTCATATTAGGCATCAAGATGTTAATCAATGTTCTCTTCTCACTGTACAAATGAAATTGTTTGCACATAAAGTGACAACTGGGCACAAAGCAAAACTGGGACTTGGCAAAATGACAGCAGTGATTGAATTCGCCTAGTTTGCAACACAAGCAATCCAAATTACCCCTGGTCTCACCGGCAACATTTGAAGCTAAAAGAAATAAGCAGAAGTGAAGATTTACCACAGTACATAGACAAATATAAGTTAAATCCTGCATCTGTATAGTATGATCAACATCACAAGGAGGAGAAATTGAGCAGGTAGTGCTGCATTTCCTGTCATCATGTATCCCCTCGCAACACTCTAGAGCTCGAACTCCTCCTCACGGAGAGCCATCTCCGCAGCCTCCTCCTCATCGTCATCCAGAGCAAAGTACTGGTTCCTCTCAGCCGGCTTGAACATGTAGAACATGAACATGTAGAATGCCATGGTGGCCACCTCCTCTGCCGCAACACTCACCCATCTGTACTTGTAGTTGGTGATTGTCTTGAGCGCATAGACAATGATCCTTGTGAAGTACAAGTATCCAATCACGACGACGTAGAACTGGCGGAAGAGCGTGAGCTTGGCGAGGGTTCGGGCAGCCTTGCCATCTGTCTTGGATGACTCTCGCAGCGATCGCATCGACCACACAACTGGGAAGAGCACCGCGCAGCAGCAGGCTACATCAACAAACAAGAAGATCTGGTTCCATGTCACCCATGCTTGCAAGTATTGCCCGGTCTCACCAACGACAGCTGCAGCAATGTTAGCTGCAACCTGCAACGGGATCACCACCATGAGCACCTTCTTCTCCTTGTCCTGCAGGAAGGGCTTGAGGAACGACCACCCGGTACCAATCAGCGCGATCACCGCGAACAAGATCACACCCTTAACAAGCTGGAAGAGATAGAACATGACGTCCCACCCATGGGAAGATCCAGCGACGCGGATGTAGTGCTGGTCCTCGGCGGCCGAGATGCAGTAGAGCATACGGGCGAGGAGCAGGCAGGACATGAGGTGGTGGATGCGGTGCGCCGAGAGGCGGTTGTGGTAGAGGGTGAGGTAGAGCCAGGCGGCCAGGAAGGCGACGTAGCCGAGCGCGAAAAAGGCGTAGATCGTCGGGACGGGGGCCTGGCCGACGGAGAGGTAGTCCTTGGAGCCGTCCGGGTTGGTGTTGTACATGTCGGTGCGTACCTCCATGGTGACGGCGGTCTCGGGCGCGCAGTTGGCGAAGAAGAGGCTGTACTCGTCGGGGTGGGAGACGGGGAAGGTCTTCTTGTAGTTGCCGCTGGCGTCGAGGTCGGCGAAGGTGAAGAGCGGGATGACGTAGCGGCTGGCGAGGACGCAGCCCGTGTTGGGGTCGGGGTTGGGGTTCAGATCCGTGGGCGGCGGCTGCTCGTAGATGGCCTCGAAGAGGGCCTCGTCGGAGAGGAGGAAGAAGCCGAGCTGCGCGGGGTCCGGCTTGGCGAGCTTGGAGACGGCCTTGGCGCCGGTGAGCGCGATGGAGACGGACCCGCGGTGCGAGAAGCCGAAC